GTTCACATTGCTGCTTCGCGAGGAAACGAGGAGAGACGACAGCTCATCTGAGGTGATGGGCATACAGCCAATAGGGAATGGCGTCGCCACATGCGTCGCAGCCCCAACGTTCACAGGCAACGTGGACACGTCCTCCATCAATCTTGCCTAGGAAAGGGACTGACACGAAAATGGAGGTGGCAGGAGCATACGAAGTAACCGGTACTCCCAAAGAGCAGGAATGCAGGCGCATACAAAAAAAGGGCCCCGCGCAAAAGAAAAAAAAAGGAGGAGGGAGAGGAGGAAAGGGCAGTTAGGTATGAGTTTAATCAGCCCATTTTATTGGGGAGGAAGTAATAAAATAAAACAAAAACGGCAGAAATAAACAAACAAGCAAACAAACGTTTCCCGCCATTCCCTAATGATGAAAAATAAGTAAGAGAAGGAGGGCACTTGGGTGTCTAACTCTAACAGAGATGCTCCATCCCCGTTCCTTCCCAGCTTGGTCGATAAAACAGTCTGTTAAAGACAGAAATGGAGGAAGGCAGGAAGAGAGGGAGTGCGTGTCATTGCACGTGTGTACAAATATATATATATATATATGACTGGAAGAAGGGGGAGGAAACTCAGGCAGTCGTCTTCATCATCCTGACGATTTCAGCACTAAGAAATGTTACACACTCCGAGTACGTAATGAGTTGATTTCCAAAGGGATCGATAAGCTCCAACATGGCATCAATACCCTCGTCGGTTTTGGAGGCATCAACTTCCTTCAAGACAGCGGCAAACTCCCGGCCATTGATGATGCCGTTACGGTCTGTGTCGTAACGACAGAAAATGGCATTAAACCGAGCCAAAAAACGCTCGTGACCCTCCAGTTGAAAGTCCAAGAGAATGCGAATGAGTTCCGCGTATGGCAACTGCACGTCGTGGACGGATGCAACTTGGTGGCCCCTCTGAACCGAACTCCGGCGGCGTGGCTGCGACAGTTGACGCAGGTAGTCGCGCACACGCATTATGATGGACACCGCATCCTCTGTGTTGTACATGTACCTCACAATGTCGACCCACTCGTCCTCCAACAGTGTGCTGCTGGATTTCTTCTGGACTATCTTGTTAATCTCAGCATCGCTTTTAGATGGCCGTTTGCCCTTTAGGTAGACGCGAAGCAACTCATGCACCGTTTCCCGAACTTGTCGCTGCACAAAACGAAATTCCTCATCAACTTCATTGCGAAGTATTTTTCCAAACACAGCCACGTCGTTGTCCTCCAGACTGTACTTTTTGATCCCTTGAATGATGGCGGTAGCCCAGTCCAGGATGATATGTTTCAGACCGTATCGCTGGTTCAGGTATGTGTACATGTGTTGTTCCATTGTCTCCCGCGGGAGATGACTTTCAGAGCACTTAATGTCGTACTTGCTCTTTGATGCATAAATATCCTCAATTATCTGCTTGAGCTGCTTCAGCGTTAGCACCTTGTTTCCAAGCTGCGGGGCCCGTGAATTTGACGGCGATACCCGCGAGCGATCCACGGGGACCGAGTCGCGTATTAAAGTCCCAAGGGGAACTCCCTCCCGACTACACTCTGGGGCATTCACAAGACGAAGCTTTGTGTGCAAACGCTCGTTCTCTGTCTGTAGCTGTCCCACTTCTTCCCGAAGGCGTTGCAGTTCCATCGCACTGGTGTCGTTACTGCTGTCGTTTGCCTGGCTCAGCTGACCCATAAGTGACTCGATTTCGTGAATGGCGTCCTGCATGTCTTTCTTCATGGCGCCAATCCGCCCATTCATGTCCTCTTCAATACAACGCCAGAGATTGTCGTAGCGTTCCAAAAGACTTGTTTCTGCCTTAACAACGGCTGTGAGGGCCCGTCCCAGCGCAACGTCCTTCCCGCCCACAGCCCGGCATAACTCATCAAGGCAGTACTCGTAGAGAACCCGCTTCGCCTTAAGTGTCTCACCCTCACGGATGGAGGCGTCGGTTTCACTTGCCGTCAGCACACCAAGGTGCTGCACGACGTTCGCAACGTATATATTAAACTCCTTCTGGGCAAACACGTTCCCAGTGGCGTCCGTAACCAATGCGTACAAATCCTCTATGTTCTTGGTGTCCTCCATTTGCCATGGCTGAAAATGCATGGAAAAATGTTCTTCTTGTTGTTCCTGCTCCTCCTCCTGCTTGTAGTGTTCATGCAACAGCATGTCATCCGGCACTGATGTGCCTGCCGCATCGTATATACGGGGTGCTGGTGAGGTATCCCCGTCCTCGCTCCTGTCGTCCTCCACTGCACTTTTTGTGTCCTCTAAGGCATCAGTCAGGGAGGTACCGTTAAACCTCTCCAGCGAGTGCAGGGCAACGATAATTTCATCCTCTTCGCTCTCATACGGCAAGTCGACGTACAGGTGCTTCAAGATGACAAGTGTGTAAAGTCCGCGCATGATGGTGCTCACCCCTGTGATAGGGTTAGCAGAAATGTCCAGGTATTCAAGCTGACGAATGCCGGAAAGATCACTTGGCAGCCCCGTGAGTTTGTTTCTCGCCAATCGTAGGGCCTTCAGCCGTGGCATTCTTGACAGCAGCGGAAGGACGGGCTCCAGCGACTCAAGTTCAAGACCCTCCAGGTTCACCTGAGCCGCCCGCAAATCAGCGTTGATGATGCTCTCCGCACGAGCCACAGCCATTCTCGCTCTTGAAACTCCTGCAGATCTCGGAAACAGAAAAACAAAACACACCAAACACTCAAAGGACGCGGTAGTGCGAGTGTGCGGTAGGAATAGAAAGCAAACATTATAGAGAGGCACACAACATACACACACACACAGTTTTGCATACAATATACGCCCATCGAGATCAGCATATGGTTAAATTCTCTATACAAAGGCACACATTTATTTTAACGTGGAACAAGAAAAAGCAAACAGTAACGCCCATAGCATGAAATCCAATCCCTTCCGTATTTCTTCATCGTTGTTGACTCGGTTTTATAGTACTCCTAGATACTACGCAGGGGTGTCGTGAACGTCACCCACTGTCGGTGCCTCTTTCGCCACATACAGGTACAGTGGCACCGATGATTGCACCGTGATTTGTCGCCGGCAAAACGGGCAGATGGCGCCGTGGGAATTGGACTTGATCCAATCCAACAGGCAGTGCCAGCAAAAGATGTGACCACACAGCGTTGCTGTTGGTTGCTTTCGATGGCTCAAGCATAACATGCACCTGCCCGCCGCCGCATTTTGGTTATCCTCCGCGTCACTATCCTCGAGCTCCTGGGTCCCCCTTCTCCTTCGCTGCATCATGGTGAGAAGCCTGCAGTCGCGCCAGGCGTCGCTCCTCCATGTAGTGCCAGAGCCGAATCAACAATTCAAGCAACACCAAGATACCACAAAAAAAGTACGTGTGGGGGGCACCCTCATCGTTCCGCATCTTCCGCGATGGCGCAAGGCTCAAGTAACGCACGCCTAAGAAGCGGTGGGAGAGAGTCCCATATGCTTCAAATAAGAAGAGCAGCATCAATGTAAACTTATGTACATTGGAAATAACATCATGCGGTGGAACGGAAGGAAATACCTTAACGGCAAACTGAAAAACTGCTGTCGGCTCCAACGCAAGCAGCAGAGCGAGTAGCAACTTCCGGGTTATTCCTATGAGACGTGGGGGACTTCCACGGATGACAGGAAGAAGATCACAGAACTCCTCCCCGAGTGTCTGCCCACGAAGGAGGGACAAGGCAACATACAACCCCTTCGCTGAGTTGATCAGGTGGAAGTCATAGTGGTTCGTGAAGTGCGCCCCGAAGAGCGCCGTCACCAGATCGGTGAGGGGGCGAGTCACGTGGTCATCAAGAATGTGCTCGTCCTTGTAGAACGCACGCAGGATGTAAGGCGCGGTCGCCAGCTGCATTTGATCTCAACGGGAAAATGCTCGAAATATATATATTATATTTATCTACTTAACGGGGGAAAACAAACTCTCGCGATTTCCCCCCACGACAAAAGACTCTGCCACAATACGTCACGGCAGAAGAAGTACAGCAAAATAAAAATAAAAAATGAAAGGAGAAAAAAAAAAAAAAAGGAGGAGACGGGAAAAAAAAATCAAAAGCAAAACAAGATCTGTAAAGTTAAGGCGATGGAGTTGTCACACATTTATTTTATTCGACTTTCGTTTTTTTTTTTTTTCTATTTTTGCAGGTGGAGGAGGGTCTCAGGCATGTGAACCAATCGATTTCACACCTACGACGAGGTTGCAACGACAATCTCCGTCGCTGGCATGCAGCGCTGCGGCGGGTGGACAAGAATTGAAAGCGGCATTGGCGCACAAAGGGACGCCTTCAAGTTCTCCAGACAGCGGCCGCGGTCGTAGTAGTGCACCTGCCCCACCTCCCCCCGCATCTCTTCCATGGTCGTCATGTTTCGCGTGGCCAGCATCAAGTGAAAAACGGCCAAGGGGGCAACAAGAAAGCAGGTACCGGCTGCCACTAACACCAGCAGGGGTTCCACAAAGTGCGTCTCTACCAAAGCAGCGAAAAACACGCTCCGGTTTGCATACGCCGCATCCCTCGACAGCAGCAGCACCCGCAGCACGAGGCTCTGTATCCCACCAATCAGGACAGTGAGAGCTAAACCCAGCGACGACCACAAGAAGAAAAAGTAGAACCTATAGTTGCGTTCGCCGACGCACGTCCCGACCCACGGACAGTGGTGATCACGACGGGCAATGCAAACGTCACAAAAACGGCAGTGAACGGCACGTAAAGGCCTATAGTTGTTGCAACCGTAACACCACTTGCGCTTCACCAAGACGTGCTGCTCCTGGCCATTTTCGTCAATGTATGAGACATCCTCCTCGAGAGGCTCAAGGGGCGGGGCGTCCCCCAGTGGGGGTGGGCCTTTCGGGCAGATGCCAGGATCCATCGTGGTGCTGCAAAATATGAATCCAAGCGTCACTACTGCAAAACACCCACAGGCGACGCGCGCACCCAGCCCAATTGCACAACTAATAAAAAAGAAAGACGACACGACGATCAGCAGCACCGTTGCCACCATGAGGAGATAGTCCGGTCCCAGGCAGAGACGGCCCTGAAGGCACACACGCGTGTTACCTATACGCTGAACATGCCAGTAACTCGTCATTTCCTGCAGCTGTACCGTTTTCGCTTTCTTGCACCCGTGTTGCCGCAAACGGCCCTCTCCCCATCAGCGCAGATGGAGCTCCCTTGAGGCCAGGAAACACTCCTTGCTAGCGTGAAGGGAACAGACAAGAGAAAACACACGCCCACAACAACAACAACAAAAGGAAGTGGTTTGTCACACGCAAAGCCAACAAAAACCTCACTGTGAGACAAGTCTACAGAAGTCAAGTGGGAAGAGGAAAGAAGAGAGGCAGAAGGAAAGCATCACATAGCTGAAAAAGTGTAAAGCACAACTCAGTCGTAATTTCATGACCGGGCAACAACGCCGCTACGTCACCGCTGCCGTCACTAACACACTCGATTCCTCTGAGATGCCGTAGTAGTCGCAGAAGTGCCTGCCCATGTGATCGCACTCCATCCACTCCATTGAGAAGACCCGCTTCACCCTAAACCCGTACTTAATGAGGCTGGCCTCCAAGTTCACGATCTGGTGCATCGTCCAAGGCAGGCAAATGACGTACGGTGCGACTGCCCCTTTTCCCGCCTCTTCCTGAGACGCGGTGACCGTCTCGATAAGTTCCCGCAGCTGCCCCCAGCCAATCCTCGCCTCACCCTTTGACGCGAAAAAGCTTGTGGGCCAATAGACACAACGTCACTCAAATGGCACAAGTAACTGCATCCAGTACGCCCTGAAGCCAAGCTCTAGGCCTGCGGGATACAAAAATGAGGGTTCTCGCCTACCGCGAGCAACGTCAATAAAGCGGTGATGTACCCCCAATGCAGGGAAGGTAATATCCTGTAGCGGAATCAAGGCCGCCGGTACAATCTTATCAATGCGCTCAAAAGAGACTCCCTCCATCATGACAGCGTCGCACAGTGAGGCAGTCTCCCCAACCGCGGCGAAGAAACGCTTCTCCCCCACCAGTGGACACAGAATCGCCATCACAACAATTTTCTCAGTGAGAGAAACAAGTTCCACAATCTTCGCGTCATACCGCTCCCCATCGTTAGATGACACGTGCAAGACGCAGGGTGGCGGCAGCAAACTCTTGTACGCCGGCAGCACCTCCGTCAGCGTGTGCCTCTCCGTGATCGCACGAAACCATTTGAGCACCTCTGTCCGTCCCATGCGGCACCAGTGGACCACGTAGAAGTACACAAGGGCGTCCACATTCACAGCCTCAAATATAGCCAGAACCAGCACCACCACAAACATTAGTCCCCATCACATCATCCGCTGGTACATGTTGGCCACATGAAAGCGATCCAGCACCTCGACGACAAACAGCTCCCGTGGGACAAAACCACACGGGCGATGCACCCCGGAATTTTTGGAGCTCGTCTCCTGCGCTGCCATCCACCACTTCACTTTACAAAACTCCTCATCCACAGCCGAGTTGATGAGCCAGGAGGGTTTTCCAACTAAGCATCTTATGCTGTTAATCTTCCAAATCAAAAGGGTATTGCGAACCACTGGCAGCTGCAGCCATGAAGCAGCAGGGAGCGGTTCATGGCGATTCAGCACATCAAAAACCTCTTCTTGCGGGATGTGCTTCGTGTGCTTGTGTCGCCGTGCGATCATGAAGAGCTCAGCGTACAGAATTAAGCACGCCGTATCAAATCAGAGCTTCTTCGGAAAAGTTTGCCTGTAAACATCACCGATAATTTTCATGAAGAACCGCACTGCATTCACCTCAAAGCGTGAAGAGAAACAGAAGCAACAAAAGGCACGCAAAAGCACAAACAAACAAAAAAGCATGTCCTTCAAACCAAGAGAGCACACAAGCGTATATTTTGTTAAGAAAGCCCAAATGAACAACGGGCATGCACACACCACGCACACACACACACAAAAAGGCAGAACGGTCGCAAAAAGCGGCCAAAAGCTTCCACAAGGAAACTGAGCTGAACGTGCCCACCCCGCGCCCAAGAAGTGACCGCGCCCAGCATCAAACACCTCGAGAGAAAGACCGAAACACACACACACACACACACACTCCTTCTTTCCCTCTCGCTCATCAATTTTATCACTAGAAATTGTGCCAACCCGGCACACGACAAACGCAACACACACCTCACAGGCCTGTCAGCCCCCTCTTTTATTGACCGGGCAAACTCTTCAAAACAAGGGCTGACGGCGGCTCTGTACGTTGTTTCGGCGCATCTTTTGACACGAATCGTCCGGTTTTGGGGTCGAAGCCCGGCGGGAGCTCGTACGGGTCGCGCCACTTCTCCCAAATAGAGACGAACTTGGAGGAGTAGAAGGAGAGAAGAAACGCCGACGGGGTGAGGAGGATAAGAAGCATAAGGGCACTCGTGAACTTGTTCTTTTTGAAAGATCCACGGATAAAACGCTGCGCTGTTGGCGAATTTGCATCTGCCACTGTCTCCTGGACGCTTCTTTCAACCTGTTTCCACTCCTTCGGTTCCATCCTCTGCTCGCCCACAACACCAGAAGCCGCCCTCGCCGCAGAGGTAAGGGTCAAAACACTCATATAGCATTACAAAGAGAAAGGGCAAGAAAAATATGTATATACCAAAAAGTGGCAAATCAACAACCTCAGGCATGAGAAGGCGCAGGAAACAAATGCAGAAATAC